GCCACTTTCATTTGCCAATACCCACTCATGCAGTCTAATGTAGTAAAGTATTTTGCTCCTGACATTGTATCGAATATGTCATTTATTAATGGTAGTGGATATTCATCTCTTTCCGTCACTTCATTTAGTCTTCTATAATCTACACATAATCTAAGCTTCCCATTTTTCTTTTTGACAACTACAACTGGTGAGGTCCATGCACTATGAGATTCTTTTACCATTCCTGCCTTTATCATTCGCTCTGTTTCTTCCTGTATGAATTTTCTTTTGACCATATCATGACGGTAAGGTTTGCTTTTAATTGGTCGTTCACATGTAGTTGGTATTTGATGTTCATAATCCTTTATATGTCCCAGGTCTAGTAGTTCTTCGGCAAATCTGTCTTTGTAATTATGAATGAATTGGTTTAGCTGTTGTTGTTGTCTTTCAGTCAATGTTGACTTCTCTTCTGCCATTAATGCTGGTATATTTTTCCATTCTTCTTTTTGTTGAGCATCTTCTATCCTTTCCCTAGCTCCTTCTGATGCTCCCTTATCTCCAACTAGTTTCAGTAAGTACTCTTTTTCATTTTCTACAGCTTGAGTAAAATATGCTGTTGTTTCGATTAATTCCTCTTCATCGTAAAGGTCATTTCCTTCCAAGATTACTTTCTTTGATTCTTTTTCAAATGTAATAGGATGTTGGAGAAGGTCTTTCCCTTCTTTAAGTCGTAATACTTTATCTTTGAAGTTTATTGTGGCTTCTATTTTTCTCAGCCAATTATTTCCAAGTATTACATTATAATTAGTGGCTCTCATTACAGCCATATCTATATGTGTTGGTTTCTTTCCTTCTAAAGTAACTAAAACGTTTTTTACTATCCCCAATGGCCTAGTTTCCTTGCCATTGATGTCTATTAGTTGAGAATTAGATTCTTGGTCAATCTGTCTTCCCAGTTTATTTAAATATTGTTGAGTTATTAGGCTAAGTCCTGATCCTGTATCGATCACAACTTCTGTCTCTTTGTTGTCTATATGTATTTTACTTGTTATGGCGTCTATCTTTTTGTCTGGGGCTTTATTTTCATCTATTGCACCATCCTGCCCCTTTGGAGGTGCTTTTACCCTTTTAAACTGTTTACTTTATTGTTTAATTCAGCCACAGCTGCTGCAAGCATTCCTAAGGTATCTGACGAATTTGTTGTAGTACTTTGTTCAATTTGCAATGGTGGTTTTACTGGTGGAGGTGGTATGTTGTAGCATTGAGGTTGTTGATGGTAATAATTTGGTTGGTAGTATGCATAATTCTGTTCTTGATCTTCTGGATCTAATTGGTTTTGCTGTGCGATAAAAACTTTCTTTGGTGCTTGATTACTTTTCTGTAATATTTGTTTAGGTTGTCCTGTATGAGGGCACTGATAAGCAAAGTGACCTAGTTGTCCACAGCTAAAGCAAGCTTGGTTAGTGTCATTCCTCACCCTCCGACATTCCTTAGCCCAATGCCCTGCTTTTCCACAATTGCTGCAATTTTTCTTTTGTTGTCTAGATGTTTTTAGACTTCTTTGGGGACAGTCTATGGCCTGATGTCCTTTCTTGTAGCAGAGATCACATGTTTCTTGTGCTGTCTTTGTTAAAAGTTCTTTCAGTTCTTTAAGTTCTTTGTGGAGCTCCTCATCATGTTTCTTTACCAATGAATATCCTGCCAAAGATCCGTCCATGGAATAAGCAGCTTCTGCAGCCTTTGCTCTTTCCACAGCTTCTCTAAGGTTGGATGCAGCTGCTAGTCTTACTGCTGTTCGTAATTCACTTCTTAAACCTTTTAGAAATTGTTGATAATGATCCCTTTCTGGATATTGTCTTGCTGGATCTGCTTTTCTATACAAAGTTTGTAACTTGCCATAATATTCACTGACTGTTTCTCCTGGTCTTTGTTTACAATTCCGAAGTTCTTCCATCCACCTCTGTTGTCTTTCAGGTCCACAGAATTTGGTTAAGAACTGGTATTTGAATGATCTTTTACGCTTGTACTCTGATTTCCATGCTTCCCATGTTACTACGGTTTTTCTAGCAGCTCTCCACCATGACAAAGCTGATCCTTCTAGACTAGTTGATAGTAAATCTAACATTCTGTTGCCTTTTACTCCATTCACTTCACAAGCAGCTTCGTATTGGTCAAGCCATTCATATGGATCATCTTCCCCTCCTTCGAATTTTGGAAATTCTGACCACTTAGTTTCTTTTCCCCCTAGTCCTGCTGCCTTGAAGACTTTTATCATTTTTTCCATTTCCCTCTTCTCATGCTCATCCTGACCTCCCTGGTCACCTTCATCTTCTTCGTCAATTGCTTCTTCCTCATCACTATCGTCCAGGTTGATTTCAAGGGTGTACTCGTCTGGTACATCTTTCTGGTTTTTCTCAAGATATTCTGCCACTACATCAAAAACCGTTTTGTTTTTTTGTTTAGCTAACTCCCTTTCTCTTTTATCATGGGCTTGGGTTAGTTCTACTAATTTCTTCTGAGTTTCCAACATTTGGTATTTCTGATAGTCTGCTACTTTCCTTTGTTCTGCCTCTTCCAATTCACTTGTTTTCTTGGCTAGGAGCACCTTCATTTCTTCTTCATCAAATTCTTCTTTGCCATCACCAAGGTCTTCCTTCTCTTTTCCCTTTTTATATAATGCTTTCACTGGTATATACAGTTTATCATTTTTTTCTTCAACTTTAAGACCTAGTTCCGTGCAATGCCAATTATTACCTAATCCCTCATGGAAGGTTTTACCTTCTATAGTGAATGTGTCGACCCCATCCAGGTTATCAATCACATACTGAGCTCCTCCTGATGATATCTCGGTTTTTATAGTTGGTAACTTTGTTTCAGATGATGATCCCATGCCTGATTTTTCTGATACTGTATCACTATAAGTTTCTGTTGTATCTGAGTTTTCCTCCGAACTTTCAAATAGTGTGCT